CGGGGCCCAGCCCCAAGGCCTTCCTTCCTCTCCCTCACCCCCCACATGGGGCCAGCGTAAGCCCACCCTGCCTCCCACCCCCACAGGGACAACCTGAGATTCCCCTACCCTCTCGGCACGTGGGCTGGCCTGAGCCCCCCTGACACCCACCAGTGTCAGGCCAGCCTTAGGCCCCCTTCTTCCCTCCTGCGCGCAGGGCGGCACAAGACCCCTGCTGTCCTCCCATGTGGGGCTGGCCCAGCCAAAGCTGCTGTCTCGAGTCCTCCCTCCAGCGCGGGACTGGTGTTGCCACTCGCCCCACCCCCACATGTTCCTCCACATCCCACTAGGGGTCATATCCCACTTTTTTTTGCAAAACTGTGCATTTGTCCAATTTGCTCTTGCCAAATCATGATCACTTGTTTTGCCAAAACAGTCAGGATGGCCATGGCAGGCTTAAAAAAGGGACTGTCCCGGCCAAAACTGGATGTATGGGCACCATATAGAAGAGACAATGAGGTAAAGGCTCTATCATTCTCAGCTCTCTCCTCAATTGTCTGCCCCCTCCATTAAATCCCCTGGTAACCAGGCCCATGTGAGCATTCCTGGACCAGACCTGAGCAGAGAACTCCTGCGTCCTCTTTGTGTCTGCAGTTGTGCTGGCCCCAGCCTCTGGAAGGACACTCCCAAAGATTGGATTCATTCCCAGAGCAGTTCACATCATCCAGCCAGATCTGCCCGGATCCTTGCCCATAATGAGCAGAGACAGTTGCATTGATGGCATGTCCACATCCCAGCTGTTTGCAAACGACATTGGAGTCTGACAGATCCCAGGAATCATCACAGACTGTCCCCCAGCTGCCATTGTAATAAATCTCCACTCTCCCGGCACAGCGACCTGCCCCATTCACCAGTCTGATCCGCCTGCTTCCTGCAGGGATAGATCCCAGCTGTTAATATGCAATATGAGGATAATTAAACAGCTTTCATGTAATCAATGATGATGCTACAATTGCTGAGATATTGAAATGCTTTTAAAAGTCTGTCTTTAACAAGAAACACAGAGAAGAAGAGAAGCTGAGTAAGGAAACAAGGAATACTTTTTACAGAGCAGTATTGATAAACAGCATGTGAGTGAAAGAGCCTAATTCTGAATTCCTTACTCATCAGAGTAATCCTTAAGGGACTCATCACATGGGTCAGAGCTGTTTGTGAGACGAAGGGTTAGCTGAATCAGCCCTTACTTGAAATCTGGAATATTTTCAAACAACTCTTAAATGATAAGCATCAAGTTGTTCAAGGAATTATTAGGCAATTAATTTACCCAAAACCAAATATTCTTTTCAATTGTTACAGAATGGGGAGGGTGTGATACTGGCTGACCAGGTCATGCTAGAGTGTATTTAGATCAGTTCACTCGTGTAGATCAAAGTAATGGTTAGATGTATAAGTGTGTATTCAGATGTTTAAACTTTATGAAAACTAGTGGAACATTACTGGTATTGTTTTCGCTTATCTATTCCTGTCATAATGTAATGCAAAACATGTACATGGTAAATACACTAGTAGCTAAATAACACATATTACACATCAAATAAATTTTGTGAAATGCTAAGGATTTAAGGACTTTAACAGAAAATGCTAATTTCAAAGCAAATGGCCATTATGCATAAGGTTGGAGGTCAAAAATCTAAGTGCATTTCTCACTCTCTGTCATCAAAGGAAAAGCCCACATGGGTAGACTGTCAGCTTGTTTTCTGTGAGAAGAAGATATAAATATGGATTCAAAGAAAGATTCTATATCTCTGGACTGTTTGGATTCTAACAGAGAAGAATAACTGAATGAGAAGACAGAGATCCCCACAGTTATTCTGGGTAGCCCTGTGTGAAGGGGTGAGCTCCCCACACTAGCCCTGTAAGAGCTGGGTTGGGCAGGATGAACCTAATCAGCTAATTACACTGCAAACAGTGGAGCTTTAGGCCGGAATCAGCTGGTTAGAGAGACTCGCCTGTTCAGGAACTGGTGAGACCTATAAAGGCAGGAAGCTGGCTATGGGCTGGGGCTGTTGGGAAAGGCTGCAGTAAGGCAGGCAGCAGTCATGCCCTGGGAAGAGGGAGGAGTGTTTGGGGGCTGCAGGGATATAATCTGCAGATACTCCCTGGCGGTGGATTCTTGAGGCTGGCACAGCCAGAGTGAGGAGAGGAACCAGAGTATAGGAAGCAGTCATAGAATCATAGAAGATTAGGTTTGGAAGCAACCTCAGGAGGCCATCAAGTCCCACGCCCTGCTCAAAACAGGACCAACCACAACTACATCAGTCCAGGTAAGGAGCAGTGTGGGCAGAGGGAGGAAGCCCAGAACTGCTGAGGAGGCCTGGGTTCCCCTACCAGCCAATGAGGGAGTTGCACCAGGGCAGTGAATGGGAAGATTGCCTAGGCAGTTGATGCCCTGAATCCCATAAGGGGAAACACTGAATGACCTAGCTGGAGGCTAAGTCACAAAGAGGATGCTGCGGGTCCTGGAGGAAGAGGAGCTGCAGACCAGAGTCAGAGTGATGGTGTGCAAACTGTGGATGGGGCGTTGGCCTCGAGAGCTAATTCCCAGAGTGACAAGGAGGAGATGCCAGATCGGCAGTGAATGGAGTACCTCATGACACCCTGTAAAAGACTTTTGGGAAACTGACAGTTTATTACATCGCTGCCACCATTTGGAGTTACAAACTGATTTGCCTATTATATTTTACCTGCTATAGACTCTCAATAACCCTCTTAGCTAATAAATAATAACTTCTTAGCTAATAAACCTTTAGTTATTTACTATAGAACTGGCTGCCAGCGTTATTGTTGGAATAAGGTCTGGAGTGACTGACTGGTCTCTTGGGACTGGGAGAAACTTGGTGTGGTGTGATATTATGATTAAGTGACATTTTATCACAACTTTCAGTTTGTCTGGGTGGCAAGTTAGGCTGAAGAGCCTAAAGAGACTGTCTGTGACTCCATGGTGAGACTTGCGTAGTGATCCAGGAGTTCATGTTTGTGATTGGCTTGGTGAAATCTAATTATAGAATAGGGGTCTCAAACTCCTGGCCTGCGGGCCATCTGCAGCCCAGGAACCTCCCCACTGTGGCCCGTGGAGGAGAGATAGAAGGAGAGACGCAGGCAGACAGGCTGTCCGCAATGTCTGCTGTAGGCACCGCCCCCCTGTAGCTCCCATTGGCTGGGGGAGAGGGACAGAGATATCATCATTAGTTGCTGGGCAGAGTCAGCCATGGAGGCAGCATCACTTTTTTCCACAATGAATATAAACAAGTCAAAATACCGAACACAACTATCTGATGCACACCTTGCTGCAATCCTGAAGGTTTCAACTGCTCAGGCAGGAAGGCCAAACATCAACAAACTGACAGAACTGAAGCATTTACAGGTGTCTGGCAAACGCTAAAAACTTTCTGGCAGGTGAAGAATTGTATAAAGTTGTATGATAGTTTTATTATTTCTATGAAATTCAGAATAAAAAATACAATATAAATGTTTTCTTTTCTGAACACCATCTTCAATGACATTATTAGCCCACTGGGCGGATTCAAAGACTGGCACTGGCCCTAAGGCAAATTGAGTTTGAGACCCCGTTACACTGGTCTACAATTTTTGAGAAGTCGTCTGCTTCAGAGATAAAATGTGCTATTTATTATGTATTTTCATGTGCTGAATTCAAATATGACAATTAAAACAACTGATTGGCTACTGTTTCTAAGATATTTAAGTTTTTACATTTTATGTATATTGTGTAGATAGTAGAGTTTTAATCATAAATTGTAAACCTAGGTCTTTTCATGTGTTTATGGTTGCTTTACATGATAATATTTCACCTTTCCTGTTTACGTAACACTTTAAAAATCAGCAAAAGGGTTATATAAATAAAATTTATTATGAAACAAAAGGCAAAAAACTATTATGTACATAGTTTAGTCCTATTCAGTGTCTACTCGGCGCTTCTAGGCTTGTCTCTTGTATTCATTAAATGGAGCATCTCTTGTCACTGTCCAGCAATAGTCTGCAAGCATTGATGGGCTCCATTTGCCATGATAGCGTTTCTCCATTGTTGCAATGTCCTGGTGAAATCGCTCGCCATGCTCATCGCTCACTGCTCCGCAGTTCGGTGGAAAAAAATCTAGATGAGAGTGCAAAAAATGTATCTTTAGTGACATGTTGCAACCAAGGCTTTGGATGCCTTGAGGAGGTTTTCCACCAACAACCTGTAGTTGTCTGCCTTGTTGTTTCCGAGAAAATGTATTGCCACTAACTGGAAGGCTTTCCATGCCGTCTTTTCCTTGCCACGCAGTGCC